GGCACAGATCTATGGATTGTGCACAGATCTATGGATCGCACAGATCTAGGAACCCTTGTGTCATTCTACTGGAAGTAAAATGCCTGTCTATTATTGGGAGAACAATGCAGTAACAACATCCCTGAATTAGTAAGAGGGCGTGACTGGGACCACAGGACTGTAGTGTAATGGACCTGCTTTGTCTCAGGCTTTTCAGCCCTCTTGTTGGAAGTGTACTAATAAAACAAAAACATCCTGCACTAAAGTAAAATAAATAAAGATGTATTTAGAATGGAACATTCTTCCTGACTTGCTTTCCAACTTTCCTGCCTGTCTCAAAGAAAAATATTCCTTGGTGGCATCTAACCATGATTAATTTCTCCTAACCAAGGAAATAAAAGAGCAATTCTATGGCTCTCAGACTTGGCAAAGCTGGTCTTGTCCAAAAACTCAAGAGGAAGCTCAGAAAATGTCTCAGTATAACCCAAGGTCCTGGCAGCAACAATTTTCCAACATAAATATCAGTAGGAAATATGGTTTTCTGTTCTGTTCCCTTCTCTAGTCAGGTAGTTTGTTGTCCCAACTAGCAGAATTCTCCTCTGCAGTCATCCCAGCATGGCCATGAAAAGAATATTTCCACTTCTCAATTTTGTATGCATGAGAACAGAAAAGATAACTGATGCTACCAAGTCCCACCTCCACTTCTACCCCACCTGCTTTTATGCCATTTTCATGACCAGAGCAAGGATGATGGGAAAAAACTGGGAACATCATGAATGTAGAGCATTATACTCACAACATTAGGAATTAGATTGCCTCAACTAACTTAATTATGGCATGATATGCAGCACAGGGCATATTGGGGCCCAGCTTAGATAAATGAGTGGATCTTTTACATCTGTAATTGGTCTGTCCATAAGAGTTTTTAGCAATAAAGAACCACAGTGTTGGGGCAGATATAATTCAGATACTACTCATAATGCCGCATACATAATGGGGTTCACATACCAAATTCCTGTTTCATTCTCCCAGCTACCAATGCAGGTGGTGTTTACCCCAAATCCATTTTTAATGTTTACAATGTGAAGGTCTGTTTTGAGCAAGATTTATGTTCCTTCGGAGTATATTCCTGGCATTTTTAATGAAGTAAAGAGTTCCCCAGTGAAGAATAAGCCTTTCCTAATGCATGGCTTGTCTATTTTGAGGATTTAATATACTATTAAAACACATCATGTTAAATAGTACAATTCAAAATTTTACCTATTTAATGTACTTTTGCTTTAAAAGGAGACATAACATAGACTCAAAAACTGGAAAAATGAAGAAGGAAGCATTAAAATTCTAGATAGCACTAATTTCATGAATAATCGCTTTCTTCAAACCCCCAAACATGTAAGAAGCAGAGGAGTTAAATATATTTTGTGCTAATAGTATAGTACATGAAAGTGGCTAAAGGAATGAAATAAAGGCATAGAATGTGGATTTTGTGTTACTCTCACACCCCAGTTTCAGAAAAGGAATATAAATAAACAAAATAAATCTAAAGGGCTTTAAAATGATTCCATAACAAGATGTGCTAGGTGATGCAATCATTTTACCCCAAAACAGTATAGAAATAAACTCATAAACTCTCAAAAAGCAAATGAAAAATCACTCATGGGACCTTGTGTTGGAGCTTTTGGGCCATTGGACATCAGGATTAGGTCATCACATTTTGTATATGTTCCTCAATACACTACTGAGTATTTGATTACTGTGATCAATAAAGCTTTGTGGACTGACCTTGCAGATCAAAAAATGGAAATGCCAAGGTAAGTCTATAAAAGACAAAAAATATAGCAGCATTCAGTCTTTTACTTTATTTGTTCCTCACATTTCTCATTACCCAGAGAAAGAATGGCCTACTAATTCTCATGAGCAATATCTAGCGTCCTAATTATATATCTCAACACACTTTCCATTCATGAAAATATTTGAAGGCAAATATGTGCGTTTTCATTATAGAAATAGCCATCTATTTTACTTCTTAAATAAAAGGAAAAATGGCAGATCTATATGTAGACTGCTTATAAAGTCTAGGAATATAGACAATATGGAGAATGCCATCAAGGACATCTTCAATTTGTGAATAATAAAAAAACATCTGTTTTTCAAACTTTCAGACTACTCTGAGAATTGATATGAAACACTCTTTAAGACAGATTATTAATTGGAGGAAAAGCAAATAGCAAACCAACATGTACCTTATTATTACACTTCTGTAATTTACATAAATCTGTATTTACATATCTGCATATATCAATAAAAAATTAAGTCATAATAAGGTTTTATGGCGGTGCAGGTGACAGAGAGGATTGAAAAAGTAAGGGAGAGTTTTGTTTTGAATCTATTGTTTGAAATGTTTTCAGTGAGAACATAGTTATAGAACACAACTTTAACATTTTAACTCTGATCAGTAACAAATCACTTGCAAAACACTTCAACACCTCTGATTATTACAATTATTTCTCTAGTAATCAGAAGTCAGGAGGCACACACATTAACTTAATGGGTCCATGCTGTCTCTTAAACCGCTTCCAATTCGGTTACACTAAGTGATGCAGTGTTTCCAATGGGAGGGGCAAGACTCCATAACAGAGTCTATACAGGCTCTTCCCTGTAGAAAGTCTTTTAGAACAGATTCCCAAATGGCTGGAGAAAGGACCCCAAGTGAAGGGCTGTGTGTGTGTGTGTGTGTGTGTGTGTGTGTGTGTGTGTGTGTGAGTTTATGCACTGTGCTGCAGCTTCACCACCTAGCATCTAACCTGGAACTTGGACTCAATCTCTATGACAGTCATAGAGAAGGAAATGCAGACAGATTGTCAATAGGTGGCATTGCCTAGGAAGTAATCCTAAAGGACTGGAGCCAGGGTATAGACCCTAAGTGAAGGCTGTGGAAGCCACTTACCCCAGGAGAGAGGGACCACACAGATCCTCACCCCTGCTGTCAATCCATAAGGAGCTGGTGGTGGGGGGAGGGGTGGGTAGGAGCTGAAGGGATATCCTCTAACTTTGGCTTTCGAGTGTCAAGTGTCCTTGGTGAAGGCCCATATCGAAAGGCGTGGCCTCAATCAGCAGAAGGAGGGGTCCTAGGACTGGTCAAATACTTAGGTGAGGACATTCAATGAGGGAGCCAATAAGCCTAGAATAGAGGGGTCCCACTGAATAAAGTGCCGTCCCTTTTGTCATCCCAGGGAGCTCCTGGAGTAACCATCAGACTGAGACACCCACTGACTTGGGGTTCCAGAATCTGAGGGTGGTGAGGGCCATGGCCTGAGGGCGTGGACACAAGTCAGCAGAGGGAGAAGGCCCTGCACTGTTGAGTTTCAAGATAGAATGCACAATGGGGAATGAGATGATCACCACAGAACAGAGGGGATGCTACAGGTAAGAGCCCAGCCCCTGCTCCAGCCCTAGGAGTCCCATACTAACTATCTAACTGAGTTGCCCCCTGACTTCCACCTTGGGTTTATAAGAGGGTGAGACTTGTTCTGAGGAGTGCTGCCTCAGGTGAGCAGAGGGAGGAATCCCACGCCCTGCCAGGAGTCAAGGCAAGATGCTGAGGATTGAGGGGACCCCTCCTTCAGAATGGAGGAGCCCCTCAGAGCATTGCTGTCAGTCCTGGGCCAGTGGGGGTAGGGGGAATGGCTGGAAGTCACTTCTCCTGACTTTTACCTCAGGAGTCTGAGACAGGTAAAGGCTGTGGTCTGAGGGGTGCAGCCTCCAATTAGCAGAAAGAAGAGTCCTAGCTTCTACCAGAGTCAAGGTAGGATGCTGAGTGAATATTTAGGGAACATCCATTCCACACTGGAAGGAGCTTTACAGACCCCCACCCTTGTTGTCACCCTTGGGAGGTGCTGGGCAGGGGTAGCAGGAATTGGCATCCACTGACTCTTACTGTTCAATCTGGAGGTGGTGAATACCTTCAGGGAGCAGGCCTCAGTTCAGCAAATGGAGGAATGCCAGGCCCTGCTAACTCTCAGTATTGACTCTGAGTGGAGACCGATGGACTACCTACCTCACAACAAGAAGGACCCCTAGATAAAGACCTAGTAGTTCCTGCTGTCAGCTCTTGGAGGCCTGGAATAGCTGTCAGATTGAGTTGTCACCTGACTTCTATCCTTGGGTTTGCAGGGAAGTGAGCCCTGTTCTGAGGAGTGCTGCCTCAAGTGAGCAGAGAGAGGAGTCCCAAACCCTACCAGGAGTCAAGGTAAGATGCTGAATGTGGACTGAGGAGCTCTGAGAAGATGTGTCAGTCTGAAGTACCCCTTCTTTTTTTTGGTTAATTGTCACCCTAGGATATTTTTCCATTGATTTTTAGAGAGGGTAGAAGGGAAGAAAGGAGGGGGGAAGAGAGAGACAGAGAGAAACATCGATGTGAGAGAGACACATTGATTGGTTGCCTCCTGCACATGCCTCCATGACTGGGGGCCCGGGATCAAACCTGCAACCCAGCTACATGCCCTTGACCAGGAATTGAACCTGTGACCCTTCAGTGGGAAGGCCAATGCTCTAACCACTGGGCCACACCAGCCAGGGTGAGGCACACCTTCTTTTCAACTCAAGTGTCTCAAGAAGACCTCTGAGGGAGGATCCTGAGGTACTCCCTGAAGTCACAGTGAAGATGCTGAACAAAGACAGAGGGGGCCACCTGCCCCCAAACAGAAGGGATCACACAAAGCCTGATTCCACCAACTCTTTTATCAAGCTCTGAGAAAACTTGGGTTGGGTCAGTGGGTTACATACTCCCTGCAGAGCCTTTTTACTTCTTCCATCAGCTTCTTACAGGTCAGGACAGGAGGCCTATGAGGCTCTAGAGCACCATCATCAGGAGAAGATGGGTGAAGGCACTGTTCATTAGAGCTGCTACAGTTGAGTTTACCAGATGAAGCCACTCACATCCCCCTTTTCTCCCTAGGTTGTGGTCCCCTATCATTCACCCTCCTGCCACACTCTTGCCTGTATCACCAACAAGAGTGAACATGTCTCAGTGTCAGGAGATTCCACATTGCACACAGGAACAACAGCATGCCCATAGTGAGACCCAGGGCCTAGGGGCTGCACAGGTCTCCAAGGCTCTGGAGGAGACCACTTCCTCCTCTTTGCATCCTTTAATGCCTGGTAACCTAGAGAAGGCTCTGGCTGCTGGGACACTCAGCATTTCACAGAGTCCTCAGAGAGCCTGTTCGTCCTCCAGTGCCATCAGAGCCATCTCATCGAGCAAATCAAATGAGAGCCCTGAAAGCCAAGAAAAGGAGGGTAGCTCAGCTTCTTCAAAGTCCCTGTCAGAAACTGAAAACTTGCCTGAAGACCCTTTAGATGAGAAGGTGCCTTTGTTGGTGCAGTACCTGCTGCACAAGTATCAAATGTATGAGCCCATCACAAAAGCAGATATGATTGATGTTGTTATCAAGGAGTACACGAATGACTTTCCTGAAATCCTCAGTAAAGCCTTGGAGCACATGGAGCTGGTTTTTGGCATTGATGTGGAGGAAGTGGACCCCACCAGCCACAGCTATGCCCTTGTTAACAAACTAGGCCTCACTTATGATCCAAGGCTGAGTAGTGATGAGGGCGTGCCCAAGACTAGCGTCCTGATCATTGTCCTGGGTGTGATCTTGATGAAGGGCAATCGTGCCACTGAGGAGGAGATCTGGGAAATGCTGAATATGATGGTCTTATATTCTCAGAAGAATCACTTCCTTTTTGGGGAGCCCAGGAAGCTCATCACCAAAGATTTGGTGCAGAAAAAATACCTGGATTACTGCCAGGTACCCAACAGTGATCCTCCATGCATTGAATTCCTGTGGGGTCCAAGAGCCCATGCTGAAGCCAGCAAGATGGAATTGCTGGAGTTTTTTACCAAGATCCACCCCACTTGCTTCCCACCCCAGTATGAGGAGGTTTTGAGAGATGAAGCAGAGAGAACTCACACTAGAGCTGCAACCAGGGCAGGCACGACTGCCATGACCAGGGAAAGTTCCAGTGCCAGATCCAGTAGCTTCTCCCACCCCTAGTTAATCTGAGGCAGATTCTTCACTTTGTCATTGTAGAGAAGTAGTGGAGGGCTGGGGTGTGGATCTAGGGAACACAGTATATAACATCTTTGTGTCCCTCTTCTATATGGTTAACATGGAGGTTTATCTTCTTTGGGGAGGGGGGTTAGTTTTCAAATATTGTTCCTTTGAATTAAACATTTAATTAGCTTCAGAATCTAAGTTTATGGTTAATTGAACCAAAATCAACATCTTTGGACATCAGTTCTTGGGCAAATGTGCATAGGAAAGACAGAAAACAGAAATTGGGATAAAGTAGAGAGGATATGAAAATTATAAATTTTTATAAATATTGTGAAGTATTATCCCACCAATCTACCAATTCATATTCTCACAAATTAATGTGTATAAATACCCTACACTCTTCACATTTTGTTTTTCCAATTCTTTAACTTTTGGTCAAATTTATATATTTAAAAATGTCTCACAGTTATATTAACTGGTATTTCCTTGTTTTCTAACTAGGTTATGTAAAAACTTAACTTAATCTCTTGCCCATATAAAGCTAGATTTCTACAGTAATGCTCTGAACTACAGGATTCTACTGAACATGCTTTAAAATTCTGACCAGGTGCCAAAGATTGAGAGCAGACAATCTCAGCTAGTGAGGAGCATGAGGAGAATGGCAGGGGAGAGCAATTTCCAGAGTCCATGAGAAAAACCACCAGCAAAACCAAGTGCAGAGAGCTTAGGGCAGGGTAGGAGGCAGGGATATGAATCTAGAGTTCAGTATTATGTATAAAACTTACTATAAGGAGAGAAGGTAGTGAATCAGGGTCAGGCACCCAGGGACACTTACATGAATAGACTTGGAAAATTTCTCACTCACCTCTGCCAGCTGGATAGATGAAAGAACCCAAAGCATATAAGACATCTCACCTTATCTTAGAATCCTCTCAACATATTGTCAAGCAGAATATAGGTGGCTCCTCTGTATCACCTAGTGATGTTATTGATGGATTCTGGCAGAGCAACATCTCTTGATGACCCTGGGAGTCCAATGTATGCTTTGCAATGTACCTGGGCCGGGAGCCATCTTTATGTGTCCTGGAGATGGCTATTTCTTACCTTTACTTAGGTTACAGCTATGTGAATGGGTGAGGTTAGTGAATGATGACAGACAGTTGAGACAGGCCAGGAGTATCATAAATAGTGGAAGGGGATATGCAGTCACAGGAGGGAGAAGTGAGAGGGAGAATGCCTTAAGAGCTAATTACCTCTGTGACTGCAAGTAAAAGGTTAGGTGTGGACATGTCTTGAAAAATAATCCAGAGGGTGTTCCTAACTCGGACTGCCTTCTTACACTTCCTAAACTTTTGGCACATCAGGTGGGTGTCCTGGGGCTGTCTGCTGGCCTGTGTTGTCACCAGATACTCTGCCTAGGATAGGGAACTGGGCCAAGGAGCAGACATTTGCAGAGGGTATGGTGAACTGATGGAAATGACACATTTCTTTGTTAAATTGACAGGGGATGATGGAAATGTGTGGGATCCAATGAGGGAGGCATTATGTACCTCCAAGATGAGGATATTAGGGTCTGGGAAAGAGATATTGACGATTGCATTCTCAGTGATATTTTCCCATGGGAATTCATGGAGGCAGAAGACCCTATCAGGGCTTATTTTGAATCAATGAATGTTACTTCAGGTACTTTGAATGATTGATTGATTGATTGATTGATTGATTGATTGATTCATTCATTCATTCATTCATTCATTCATCCAGCAAGCACTTATTGAACATATACTGAGGGCAAACACTACGTTAACAAAAGGAAATGGCAAAGCACTTGATTCAGGCTGTAAATGTGAGGATGACTAAGAGACAGATTGGAGTTTTAGGAAGTTAGGGACTATGTGAAAAGGTCGGGGAAGTCTATAAGGACTCTGAGTCTTAAAGGTTGGTTGACTGGGTAGAAGCTGTTCCTCTTAGCTGAGATTGAGGATAAAGAGGAAGATGAGTTTATGGCAATTTGAGTTACAGGTAGAGATGAGGATGGTGCGGGCCATGTAGGTGAGAAAGTTCTGCTGGCTGTCCTGGTGTAGATGTCCAGTGGGCAGTAGAAAACAAAGGCCTACCTATCAGGAGAGGGGCTTGGGATGCAGATTAGGTTTGGCTGCCTCAGGAGATATCATTTGAGGCCACAGATAGAGGTAAAAACCAAGCGTTTTGCATGCAGTGGCCTATATTCTGTCTCCTCCCCTGCAAACACTACTGGAAACCAAAACTACACCAAGCTTAATAAATCGAAGGAAGATTTAAAGGGAGAAAGTATTCACCCAGAAATCTACCAGCCAAAGTTTTCCTGTGTTTCCTTAAGCTCTCTCTTTTAAATATATACTTGTGCCTTTGCTTATGTATCACCTATGCCTATGTATTTGTCTCGGGTCTCTTTTAGGACTCTGCTCTTGAATACAAAGACATTAATCTGCTGTGACTAATGTGTCTGTACTAGGCAGATGGCAACTCTGCTTTAACTCAAATTTCTCATGACGTACAGAGCAAGGGGCTGGAGGTAGGAAGTTCATGACATATCCTTTAACAGGAGGACAGTGATTGTCAAAATTTTAGATATGAGGCTGCTTATCCCAGCTGACGTCTTCCTCTGAAATTTAATCCATGAACATAAGAAAGGCACAGCATTCTGGGTAAATTGGGGACTGCAAGCCCAATCTATGCATCCCTTTCTCTCCCTTGGGGGCAGTAGTCCCTGATACCCACAGAACTCTAGGGTGCCCCCTGAACACTGCTGGGAAAGCTCAGTGCTAGAAGACCCAGCCTCAGACATGGACTTCACCTAGGGTTGCCAGCAGTCCTGAATACACAGGCCATGTCCTCTATGTGTTTTGTCCTGCATCCTATATTGGCTTTGTCAGAATACCCTAAATGTCCTGTGTTCAGCTTTTTACAATAAGTTACACAAATTTAGCAGTTAGAGCTATTTTCAACCATAGTGATTAGTGATTAAACCACTTGTGTAGAAAATCATACCCCCACAAATAAAGGTCTGGTCTCTCCAGAGGTTTGGCTGAGGAAAGATCAAGGGGTGGCAGGGGGTGGGGGGTATTTAGAATTAAAGAAAGGAAATATTCAAGAAAGGGAAAACCTGGTTTTGGGCCATAGTCCCAGTCATGAGCAAGTACCCACCATTAATTAGCTGCAAAATCAGTACAATCAGCCAATCAAGACTGAAAAATCAGCCAATCAGTGATAGCCCCACGAACACCTGTCCTGAAAGTCAGCCAATCAGCAATAGTCTCACACTTCCAGACAGCATCCAATCAGCAAGTTCTTCTGTCCAGATCCCATGCTTCTGAAAGTCAGGAGGTCTATAGTAGCCTTACTCTAATGACCACATCAACACAGTCCATCCTTAACACTCTGCTTCTGAGTGTCTTCCCATCCTTGAATCCTCAAGCAAGCCAAAATCTCATATAGCATCAGCTCTGGCTTTGTTCGGGAAGAATGTGCCATACAAGTACAATCCTCCCCTAAGGCAAATGGGAAGTTCTCCTTTTTGCATCAAATATGGACTTCAAGTTATTCTTAGTTCACAAGTTCACAACCCTTTCAACCATTCAACTACCTTTGTTTACAGACTTGAGTGATGACTGACATGGTCATGAGATTTTCAAATTAAATCTTTTCAATTCTTGCATAGGTTGTTTCACCTATTTTTATTTATATATATTTGAACCTCAAAATACCCAAACTCAAGTATAAATGTTGTGGTGAATTTTATGAACGGTGTACATTTATTAAATGAGGAACAAATCCTTTTAAAGCTTTGTGTGCCACATGCAATGCTTCATTCAATATAGAAAATGGTGGAAAGTCAGATATAAACCAACATATACTAACAGCTGAGCATGAGAGATGTATGATTTCCTTAACTAGTACAAATGACATTTTAAAAAAAGTGCATTTTTTGTTTGAGGCATTCAGAAGTTATTTTTCACCTGAAGTTGGAAGCAAATTTTGAAGTGCCAGAACCAAATCTACTGCAATAATAAAAAATATGATAACTCCATTTACTATTACAGAGATTATCAAAGATCTAAATACTTCACCTTTTTGACATCATGGCCACAAGAAAAAAGACTTTCTTATAAGACTACTGTGAGTAAAATCCTTTGCATATTTGGCTTCAGAAACAACAAATTTTTGCAGACTTCCTATTTTTATTTCAGAGTTAATGAATTAAAGTGGTTAAAGTTCACATAAAGTATGCATGATTCTGTAGTAGTTAGCTATACTACCGATATTCGGCATAATGCAACTTAAGCAGCATCTGATGTTCTTTAGTTGAAACTGAAGTAATAGTTACAAAATGATTCTTACTTCAGAATATATATTCTTTGAACTGAGTTATTAAAGAATTTCAGTGATTTTGTTAACATTTAGAATTCTTCAATTCTCATTCAAAAATCTATTGGCTTCCTTTAACAAATGCCGTTGAAAGAAACTTCAATTTATTTGAAGCTCTGATATTACATATAAATCCCTGAAATTTCAATTTATTAGAAGCTCTGATATCACATTTTAATTCTGAAGAAAGGTCTCAAAATCGTTGTTGACTTTTTAAATAAGTCATTGAGCAAAATCTACTTATTTCTTGTTCATACTTTGTAATATTTCCTTAGAAATAAGATTATGTGCTTTGAAAGAAGAGCAGTATTGTTAAAGTGCTTCACTGATTAAAAGAACTTGTTGAGTATGTTAAAGAAATAATTGGTGAAAACTGTTTCCCTTTACGTGTCAAGGCTGTTCTTAAAAAGAACAACATTACTTATGAACAGGAAAAGAAATTCTGACTTAGAGTAATTATTATGAAATTTGTCAAGACTATAATTTGAAATGAATTTTATCACTTGAAGAATTTGACTTAGTAACATGGATGTCATTGAATATTCTTCCAGCATGGAAGCCACAAGAGGATAACAATTGATAACAATGTTCTT